CATAGGAAACAAACTGATACATCTCCACTGAATGCTGTCTCACTCTGCAGATTCCTCTTGAATGTGCGAAATAACATGAAATGTACAGTATATTTATGTTCCATTAATGATATAGGAAAACGATGAAAAAAATTGCATGCAAATTCTCTATAATGCCCTCGTATCCATTCTGAGTTATAGTTTGAATCTGACAAGAAAATAATATCAAACTGAAACATAGTATACATCAATACAATCATCACACTTTGATCAACATGAGCAGGTGGTTAACTGCCTTTATGAGCATCTTTTTTAATATTAATATTTATTTATATTCCAAATTGAAATGCAAACAGTGTGTGACCTAAATAAAAGGACTGCTGCTGTAAATAAAATGCAGAATGAGTTTACTCTTCACTTGAAGAGCACTGTCAGGCATGGTAAAACACACCAAGTCATTTAAAGCTTTTTGAGTAAAGTCATTAATGTTGGCTCGCAATGCTACAATGGTTTGAAAACACAATGCCTTTACAGTGAATGATGCACTCTGAGGTGCTCCACTAAAGAAAGTAATGGCCTTCTGGCCAGACCTCTGTCACCCACATTTCTTAATAAGTGATTCAAAACGGACACATTTAGGAGAGTAAATCCTCCAATCAGACCTTTTAGACAGGATGGAAGGTAGAGACTTTCTCATCAGATGTTTCTATGCCAAATGTGTTATCAGTAGAAGCCAACAAATGAGCACAGTACAGGGTGGAGGCCATTAGCTAGCTAAACACAGTATCAGCGCTAACGTGCCCAGCTACGTTAACAAAACACAGAGAAGCTGGATTACAACTTGAACCTCTGCTCAGGTAGATATTACTACACATTATTTTTACATGGGAAATAGTTGGTTGCTGCTATTTTAATGCTCTGAAGTTCAGAGCATTAAAATGCTCATTTCTGTATTCAACGTTCAGTCTGAACGTAGAAATTAGCGAACACAAACCTTATCTTCAGAGATATGGCCCTCACTAAATCTATGACCATTTTTGAATACCTGTGTCTGTTTTGGCATACCTGAAGAACTCATCAAGTGAAGGAATAAACACAGTGCACCTGCATGTGAAGCGAGTCAAATAATGCCTTTGCTAGCATGCACTGGTTCACAACCTGTTGCACAAGGTTAATCAAAACTAACTTACATAAAACGTATGTTTGGAAACCAAAATGCATGCACAACAACGTGGTGATTCCTGCTTTGTTTGCATTGTATTCCACATGAGCACACTGTTACAATCAGCTATATAGAACTATAGGAAAGAGAAAACCAAATAAATAAAGCAAATGAACAAGTGGCTTAGTGTTAGTTTCCATATTTGTGCAAAATAGAAATGTGAAGGTTAAAACAGAAATCACAAACAACACCCTCTCCCTTCTCCTCTGATGTAATGAGGGTACAGAGATGGGAGTGGAGAGGGCTGTTGAGAAAAAAGGTGTACCTTTGAAATAAGTTATATCATTTCCATAATGCCTGACAGAAATGTTAGTAAAAACCACAATACATTACCAATTCTACCGGAACTTTTCAATAAAATCTACTATTTCAAAAACTGGAAAAACAACAGGTATTGAAAATCACCATTTTGACCCAGGTCTGTTTACAAGTCAGCTGTCAATATGACATAAGGAATGCTTCTGTACATTTAATTTTCAATGAAACTGCAAAGTGTGACACACTGACAAAGGGCATTTTTAGATATTTGCATTATTATGTACAGTAACAGCTGTTCAAATATTCTGATAATTGTGTTTTTTTGTTTTATTTTTTAATTAATTCCCATTTATTTTCAGTGACAAACCAAAAAATGATGTTAATAACTAATTTGATAAATTAATAACACTGTATATGCATGCAATATATTTTTTTTGCAAGGAAACTGGATTTGTGGAGCATGCAAATGTGAGAATAGTTCCTTTTTTGTCCCAATCATCTGTACATATTCAGCATAAGAAAACTACCCTTTTAAAATGTTGATGCTCATTTTGTACGGAAAATCATAAATGTGTTTCATCAATGCAATCTATTTACAAAGAGTACCTTTATACATACAATCCTTCGTCTTATGGTGTACAATACTTTTACAGCATTAAATCATGGAAACACCTCAATAGATACAAAAAAGAAAGGATCATCATCTATGTGCCAAGCATGATGTGTGATGCTGGTTTCAAAGTACTTCATATACAGCCACATCATTCGCACACAATGTCATAGCTTGCATGAAAAGGGGGTTTTTGAAAAGGCAGTGAGTCAGATAATATGAAGAAGGAATCATTCATGAGGGTCTCCCTTTGTTTTTCTTGGAAAGACATCCACCTGCTCTGTGAGCTGCTCTGAATTCCTTTATCACAGTTACAGTATTGACGTCACATCAAACAGCGTTTGCTAAAGTGTCACGCTCGCTTCACTAGGAGTTAAATAGATCAAAGTGTATGCAGTAAGAAACACATGAGTAGGGACAGTGTCCTCCCTGTGGCTGAGACGCTGTCTACAGAGCCTTCATCAGTAAATAAAGACGGCCTCTCCTCCCAGTCTATTGAAGTGAGCTCACCCCTGCCCCGGAGCTTCTGTGGGACCGTCCCTGTGTCCGGACCCCTGGAAAACACGCTGTAATGCCAACTCCAGGTTTGGGTAAAAACTCAACGATATCTCCAAAAGTCTTCAAGTTCTCTTTCTGTGGCGTCATGGAGACAGTGTCTGGAAGGACTACTTCTTAGCCAGTTGGAAAGGATGTTGACCCTTTAAACACATGTGTGAACACGGTTTATTCACTTCAGAAGCACAGGCAACATCTTCAGGGATATTAGAATGAGTCATCCATTACATGTTACTTATTGTTAGCCTTTAATGCCCAGTGCATTTCCAGAGTTTATTTGAGTATCATTTTCTTGTTGACATTTAAAAGTCTTCATAGTTTTATCCCTTTTGTCCTTTTACCTCACGTGACCTAATGGCAAACCCCAGAACCATCTCCTCTCTATTGTCTGATATGAAAGTGTTTAAATATCTGAGGTGACTTGATCACGACACTATAAACAAATAAACTAAACTAAACTAGTGACTGTCAGGTCTCTCTGTGAGCACACATCCTCGTTAATAAGGGAGTCAACTGCTTTCTCACTGTGCTACAACACTAGTTGTCCTTGTTCCTGATGTGAAACATTATGATCAAGTTATTTTCACTTTTTATTTCTTTGAATCCTGCCTGGGTGGTTTGGTTGATACGTCAGGATACAACAGAACTCCACAGTGAATATGTTTGTGACTACATTCATGTGACAATCATTTATCATCTTTTGTCTGCAAACCGTTTTAACAACATTATAGGGACATCACACAAGATGATCGAATTAACTGAACCTTGTGCTGACGATTGGTTTCATGTCCCTAAAGCAAGATGAAAAAGTGTGATTGTTGAACCTTACAAATAATAAGGAAGCTCTTCCTTTTACTTCCAGGATCAAAGGTTAATAGCAGCTGGCTGGGGAGTAATGGATTACATGTAACAGGAGTACGTAATCAGTATACAGGTAACTGTCATAAAGAAAATGCGTCATTAGATTACTGATACATCTTTTTACAAGAGGGATAACTAACTGGATACATTGTAGACTCACTGCCTGGATTGTATCTTTGGTTTTTATTTCTCTCTCATTCTTAATTATTTCAACTTTCTTTTTTGAATGCAGTCGGTCGACACCTGATTTGTTAAACAAACATGATGTGTTTAATCAATGTATTAAACTAAAACTGCATTTGTAAACTAAACTATTCTGGTTTCCTAGTCTAGAGGACTCATTAAAACCTCTTATTGATATGTATTTTTATCAGGTTATACTTTATATTGTGTTACTTAGATTGAATACTGATTCAATAGTTTTACATCATCTACTGCAGACATTGTCCCAGAATACATTATTAAAGTAAGCCTTCCAACTCTGATGAGCAGCAGGTCTCTAGTGTTTCCCACAATAAATACATTGGGATTATATTCACATCAACGTTCATCTTTAACCGTTTTGGTCAGGGTCCTGTTTTAAATAGATAGTTCTAAGACAGACAGGAGTTGACATCGTGCTGCCTAAGTGGAAAACCCCCTGAATGACTGTGAAAAGGTTACAAATGGCACAGAGGTCTAAAAAAGAACTTGAAAGGACAACTGAGAAAAGATGTTGGCAGGTTTGAGGAACAGCAGTCTGCTTTTAGTCGTAGCCAATAGATCAGTGAGCCATCTATTCTTGAAATAGATCAGTAGTGAGTGTTTTTTCACACTCGGACTGAGCAGTTCCTCCCTCCTCTGTGGGTTTCACCTCTGCTGGAGGAACTTTGTCCATGTGATCATTGTTATCAGAAAAACCCCTCTGCTTTGCACTGGACATCTAGACAGCCTTTTCTAAAAGTGTATCTTACCTCTTCATTCAAACATGTTAATGTTATCATCATTAAAAAGCTGAAACAAAACCACAGCACACAACACATGCTGTAGGGACAGACACATCCTTTGTGATAATGTATGGACAGGGTCAGGACTATGTGAGCAGCCATCTTTAGACTGCATGCAGTCAGAATACTCTCTGTAAAGGCAGAAGGCCTCCCTTCACATTACAGTTTCTGAAGATCTGCTACTAAGGGTTACATTTGACCAGCTTTAGGCTAAATGCACCTCTGAGTAACTGAATCTGTCTACTCAAGTGTACCATGACCTTCAGCAGTCTGACTCTACAATATTAAATATGTTAATGTGAATAAGAGTTAACGTACAGATATGAAACAAGATGACTGCATTTCCCTACCAGCAGTCAAATATGTAATAAAAGGTACACAAATGAAATCTCTTTTAGAGAGTGTGTCTGTAAACTTGTTTGACATCAAACGGGAGTTAAACCAGCTCAGCAGTTGGTTTAACTAAGATGCACTGTCCTGCCTCCATACATTATTTGGTGTGAGAAATGTTTTAGAAACAAAGCCAAAATCCTCAGAAATGTATATTTAATTATGACGGTCACGCTGAACAGAATCAATACTTTGAACATTTCAGAACATATCTGGAGTATGTACGATCAGTATGACAGGTAAATGAAGGCCAGCTAGGGACCTGGTTAATGTGAGGTATGGTGCAGCAACATGACACTGTGAATATTGTTTTGCCAACAACAATCTCCCATGGCAACATCAAACCAGGCAGACACACACGGAGCTGTGAGGGAGCAGCACACACCGGACCAGGTCCTCTCCTCCAGTTCTTCAACACTGAGTGACTCGTGGAGTTAATGAGGTTAGCTTAATGAACACAGCTACTGAAGAACACACACTGCTGAATACATGTCCTACAGTTGATTTAAATAAACACATTTCCATGTCAGGAAGGTTACAGCTTTCTTCATAAAGGGATCAAATACATGTGATGATCGCAGCAGCATGCCTTTGGTGAGCAGCAACATTTCCCTCCAACAATACGGCTGTACGCTGAAGAAACCCAAACGTTGAATTGACTGAAATGTATTATGTAAGGAGAGTTTACTTAACTGTATTAGGTTAGTTGAAATATTACGTTTAAATACAGAACCAAAGGACCTAACCTAATACAGTTATGTGAAATCTGTTGACATAATACATTTAGTTAAAGTCAATGTTTCACTTTTTTCAGTGTGTACTGAGCCTCAGATTAGAAGACACGCAAACACACACTACAGACACTGCAGCTAAACACAGAGCATGACAATCATAAAGCAGGAAGTGGCTGTCCTTAACATTTGGCAGAGCTATTTACAATGAAGTGAAATCAGAAGGAGAACATGAAGCTTACATGGAGCTTCTGCTTTCCTTTCACTGCTCAGGATGCTTAAGCCTGAACTTTAAAGCTTCAGATTATTCAAAGATCTTTGTTGACACTCTCCTCCGGGACACAAGCACTGGCTTTAAACATGTTAAACGCAAACTGATCGTCTGCAATATTTCAAATCAGATCATTTGTATCCGATGCAGATGTCTCAGATCATTTGTATCCGATGCAGATGTCTCAGATCATTTGTATCCGATGCAGATGTCTCAGATCATTTTTGGAATTAACTCCAGGAAAAATGTTGAATCGTTCATTGTTTTAGACCAGGAATCCGTACGCTACTACAATTATTCAGAATGATCTCTGGGAAATGATGTGTTAGTGTAATAAAAAATAAACCTCCCCATAATGTCAAAATATGTTGAGCGTGAAATGTAATTGTGTGTCGCATGTAATGCAATAAGTGATGAGTGATTGTGTATACAGCAGGCCTCACTGCAGCCTGACTCAGGGATACACTGAGTATGTTGCCTTTTGTCACTGAGGGGTCCCCCATAACACCAATCCCATAGGTAACACTATGATTTATAGTTGATTATAGGCAACATGTGTAATATTATACAAATAGTACTATGCTACATGGTTAGCATTTGTTTCCAATGAAGGCAGGTTTACATCCTCAGTGTTAAATAAAATCTGTTGTAATGTACAACTATACATGATCAGTTTCTACATATGCAGCTGTGAGGATTTGGATCACTTTAGAATCCTTGGTTATGAAACTGTTACCCTGTTACCCTGATGCTTTTGATATCTTTATCTCTCTGCCACTGTGTGAACATATGTTCCAACTGAAACTGTTTGTCTCCTACACTTCATCACACGGAGGAGAGCTCAGCTAAGACTTTCAGAACACTAAAACTACATATTTCCAGCCCCACAACTCAGTGCAGCATGGTCTGTTACAACAAAACAACACAATACAATAAGTTAATAAGCATTATCCACTTCACATTATGCACAAATATCATGCATCTGTTGACACATTCTTATCCTTCCTTGTCCAATCCGGTATTAAAATAACACATAGATATACAAATCCAATACATAAACAGTCATACGTATTCAAATAAACAATCTATACAAACATGTTGCCATATATTTTTAGGATTCCATTTTTTTTTCCCTTGTATAACAGAATAGGGAAAAGTAAAAAAATAAATATCCTATGTACAATCACACAAGCCATTCCAAAGTTATCGTCACTGCAAGGAAAAAGCAAAATGCAAATGAAATGTTAGTTCAAACTCAGTTCATGGTGAAGTCAGCAGACAGTGGGAGACTCAAACTGAAACTTACTTTATTCCAACATCCTGGTACAGGTAAGCCATCGTCTCCCTGAACAAAGACAGACGGATGAAGTTAACAACAAGCACTGCGGAACAGTCAAGGCTCTGCATGCCTGAAGCAACAATGCTTACAATGATGCAAAACAGAAATCAGTATTCCCTTTATAAAGTAGCAAAGTGCTAAAATGTATTATTTGGGTCGTCCAGGTTCTGTAGGAGAGTCCTGTTCTGCATATGCATCGTATGTGCCATGGTCCGAATTTCCAAAGTGAAATATATTTCCCATGTTCTAGTGGCTCTTTCTGCTTTTTTTGCTTCCAAAATCTCTTTTAGTCTAGTTGCCATCTCACAGAGTCCTATGAACCCGGAAATGTTAAGTACCCTAAGGTTAATGTTAGAAATGTATAGTAGGGTCTCCAGCACATAGAAACTGCCGGATGCTAACCTGCATATGTTGGGCAATTTTAACAATTAGCATAAGGTGTGTTAATTAGCATTAATGGCATAGCCCATGTGGATAATAGTTCATTTAAACCATTTGAAGAGTGTTTTTTTCAGGACTAAAACGGCAGTATTAACCAGAAAATGACAATATGTGTACTCTCTGTGGGCTGATTTTAATACATTTTGTAGAGAGAATAATTGTGGTCAAAAGTATTTATCGTAAGAGTTGTTTTTTTCATTATATCTATCTATCTATCTATCTATCTATCTAATATCTATCTCTATCTATCTATCTATCTATCTATCTATCTATCTATCTATCTATCTATCTATCTATCTATCTATCTATCTATCTATCTATCTATCTATCTATCCATCTATCCATCTATCTATCCATCTATCTATCTATCTATCTATCTATCCATCTATCTATCTATCTATCTATCTATCTATCTATCTATCTATCTATCATCCATCTATCCATCTATCTATCCATCCATCTATCTATCTATCTATCTATCTATCTATCTATCTATCTATCTATCTATCTATCTATCTATCTATCTATCTATCTATCTATCCATCTATCCATCTATCCATCTATCTATCTATCTATCCATCTATCTATCTATCTATCTATCTATCCATCCATTTCTATCATCTATCATCTATCATCTATCTATCTATCTATCTATCTATCTATCTATCTATCTATCTATCTATCTATCTATCGTCTATCTATCTATCTATCTATCTATCTATCTATCTATCTAAAAGTAACAATTTGGTTAACCTGGATAACATATTTATAATTTAAAATCAGCGGACTTTAATATTTTGGGTACATTTAAGATACATTTGGAGACTATGGTGCCGTGTTTGATTCTAAATTGCAATGACAACCAGTGGATATATTGATTTTACGGTTCAGGTATTGCCACATTAAACTGACAGAATAAAGACTTCATTTCACAGATGAAGGGTTATATTGAGAGAAGTGTGTTTCTCTTAAGGAACATGAAGGATTTCATTGAAAGAAACCTTTGTGTTGGTTAAAAATTCAGAACTTCACAACTCTTTAATACATTCAAAAAATAATTCATGATTATGAGAATAAATACAACCATGGGTCGTCTCTATAATTAAAAATATATTTGAATGTTTTAATCCTTGAGAAATCACTTAACCATGTTTATCCTCACCACTTAAGGTAGAGGGTGACAACAAATGACCCAAAAACACACTCTAGTGTAAACACCAGGCTGCCGGTTCTATGCAACAGTCTACCAACACTATGAAAGATGATTTCATGCATTTCAGTAATGATGCAGCGGATTCACACTACCATTTACAAAGACATGAATATGTGTTAAACATAACCTTACCTGTGTACAATGAGAAATAAAGAGTGTCCTTCAACAGATTTCTGAACCCTGATCAGTTATCTTCTAACACCAAATGTAACCACTTAGAATCCATTAGCCTTGCAAAGCCAATCCTCGTTTTGTTTATTTGTTTTGGAGACCTACTGGGAATAACTACTGCATAACAAGATGCATGTTGGATTAATAAGCAGGTAAGGGGGAGTGTTTAAGTGTGGGAAACGTACCTGTTAGATAAATGCACCTTTTGTTCAGCCGGATAATATCCACATGTCTACCCTACTTTTATCATTTTCTAATCATAAATCTATCGATTAGATTTATTATAGACTTTTGAAACTACAAGAACATAAGGAAGACTTTTACAAAAAAGTAATAGAGATTTTTGTCCAGAAGGATAGGCAAATGGACTTCATCTTCAAGTCAAGGTAAGACCACCATTTTATTGAAAATGGGATCTTACTAAGTGAGAACAATTCAATATTTAAATGATAAAATTACATTTTTTTTGGGTATCCTTCTGTTGAACTGTCTGTTTAAAATTAATTGAAGCTTCAGACTAAAAAAGCTTTTGAAAATAATATTATATTTTGATTTAGGTCAAAATATAATATTTGTAAACCTGAAGAATCAGTGCCAGTGCCTCACCAGCCATGAACCTCACTGCAGAAGCTTATATATAGACATCTGAGTTTGTTGTGCCCCACCACTTTTGTACATATAAAAACGTCACTGAAGACGATTGGAAACAAAAGCCACAACAAAAGGCTATTTACTCTGAGTAGTGAGAAACTAAATCTGCAGGATGGCTTTGTTAGCATATTAAAAAAGGAATAAAAAACATGCAACAATGATGCTTTCATGCTAATAAAAGGACTCTGGTTTGCTTTGACCAAATACAACGGTCTCATACTGCTGTTCACCACCTGTGGTACTCTGATCCCTTGAAGAAGGAAAAACTGGTGCTCCATGCAAGAGATGGAGTGGGAAACAAAGTATTAGGGTGAGAGGGTCCAGGATACTTAAACAACAATCTTAAGGATTTAGAAATTAGATTATATTGTTGTGTTATTGGTAGCATTATAAACAATCATATATCTGCTATTGGAGTTAAAGGTCCCATGTCATGCTTTTCTGGTTATTACCCATCCCCGTTATGAAGCTTTTTATTCATGTATGCAGAGTCACAAACCCTCAAAGTACACCCTGTAGCGAGTAAAACTCTAACACAGAAAATACCTGTCTGTGCTGCCCCAGAACGCCTCGTTGGAGAATTCTCTTTTTCTTGCTGGGTACAGTGACGTGACCATACACAAATGGACCCATTGGTATCCGTAATGAGCTACCTCCGTGCCTTACCACAGTATCTGGTACTATATCGGATAGGGCCACCATACTAAATTGTTTTAATGAGCATTTTGTGTCCTGTGGCTCTCTGTTTCATTCTGTTTCTAATTCTGCTTCTGTGAACACCACAGTCGGTGACTCAGAACAATGTGGTCTGGAAAACCCCTTCAGTTTTACTCCTTTTACTGTTGATGTTGTTTGTGAAGTCTTAACTAAGCTAGATCCTAAAAAGCCGGCTGGTCCGGACAACGTAGAACCTTTCTTTTTAAAGATAGCTGCAGATTTTATTGCTCCACCTCTTACTACTCTTTTTAACCTCTCCCTCAGCACGAACAAAATCCCAAAAGTATGGAAGTCAGCTTATGTCCTGCCACTACTAAAAGGAGGGGAGGCCACCTTATTAAACAATTATAGACCCATCTCTAAGTTGTCAGTTCTGGCCAAGGTTCTTGAACGCCTAGTGAGTGAACAGGTAAAGGTGTTTTTATGTAACAATGACATCCTGTCTAAACATCAGTCAGGCTTCAGAAAGCAACATAGCACCATCACTGCCACAATGAAAGTGGTAAATGATATCACGAGTATTTTAGATAATAAGCAGAGTTGTGCAGCTCTATTTGTTGACCTATCCAAAGCTTTTGATACTGTCGATCATCGCATTTTGAAGCAAAGGCTGGTCAGTATAGGCATGTCCAGCCATGCAGTGGGTGGTTTGTGAACTACCTCTCTGAAAGGTCCCAATGTGTTCCGTTTGATGGGCTGTCTTCTGAGTGGTTAAACATCACTAATGGTGTACCACAAGGTTCTGTTTTAGGTCCACTTTTATTCTCTATCTATATTAATAGTTTAGGTGAAAATGTCAAAGGAGCAACCTTACATTTTTATGCGGACGATACCGTTATGTACTGTGCAGGTCCCTCGATTAACAAGGCTGTTGTTAAATTACAGGCTGTTTTTAACATTATTCAGACTCAGCTCTCTGAACTAAAGCTTCTTTTAAATGTGGATAAAACCAAGGTAATGCACTTTTCTAAAGCTAAAGCTAAAAATACACCAGAGACTACTTTGGATATTGTAACTACGCAAGAAATACAACTTAAAGTGGTTACCTGTTACAAATACTTGGGTATCTGGCTTGATGACTGTCTCACTTTTAAACTTCATGTCAATAACCTGCTTAAAAAGCTGAGGGTTAGGCTAGGTTTCTTTTACAGAAATAAGTCCTGTTTCTCGCTTGAGGCCAGGAAAAGGCTAGTCACTGTGACCTTTTTACCTGTGCTGGATTATGGTGATTTGTTATATATGAATGCACCTGCTAATTACCTGAGCAAGTTAGATGCTGCGTATCACAGTGCACTGAGATTTTTGACAAATTGTAAAGCACTTACGCATCACTGTACCCTGTATACCAAGGCGGTTATGCCATCACTTACTGTACGGAGGCTCAGTCACTGGTACTTTTTCATTTACAAAGCCATGTTGGATAAACTACCATCTTATATCTGCTCCCTGATCTCTCTGCGAATTGAAAGTACTTATTGCCTGAGATCGCATGCTGTGGTTTTATTAAATGTGCCAAGTGCTAGGACTGTCTTAGGGAAGAAAGCTTTTAGATGTGCAGCTCCACTAACATGGAACAGTCTGCAAAAAGAATGGAAAATTACCAAGCTAGTACCACTACATGTTTTTAAAGCTCGGTTGGATGCTACAAAATCAGATGCTGTTGGTACCTGTACATGTGGTTAAATATGTCAATTGTAATCCCTGTACATTTTGCTGTATGATGTCCTTTTGTTGTTCTGTTGTTTATGTCTTCTTGTGGAACCTACTGCTGCAGGTCTCCCTTGAAAAAGAGATCATTGATCTCAATGGGATT